AATCTCTTGCAGCGGCCCTGAGTTTCAATGAAATTGCCCTAGGGGCACATTCGGTTCTGGCGCCCGGCCTCAGACGTTGCAGACAGCGCCCAGGTTCGCCATGGGACGCGAAGCCCGGCAGCTCACGCAGCACCGATGCCGAGCCAGGTGGGAGAGCGAAGCACGCCATGCGTTCTTTCTCTCCAATGGACTCAGCCAGTTCACGATAGGTCAGACCCCCCAAGAAAACCTCATCGACGCCCACGGAGAATATTATCCGCGCATTTCTTGAACGCGGCCGCGCTCGAGAGCGGCCTCTGACTTGCTCGCCGAGCTGTGCCCGAGAAGGTCTCTACATCTAAGGCTTCGACATCCATGAAACCGCGACAGACCAGGCGTGGTCTGGCAGCGCGTTCCATCTCGCCCTTTCCGTCCTCCACCAACTTCCATCTGTGCGCGCATGTCGAAGTTATGAGATGCGTGAAGCGGTCGTTGTCATGCAAGGCCTAAGCTCTGCGTGCAAGTATGTGGATGTCTTGGACGCTTGCGCCTGTGCATCGGTCTTCGTTAGGAGGCCGTCTTCCTCGACGGCCGCGGCCCTCCTGGACGCGGCTGACGCGCGCGCACGGTGGATATATGATCGTCGCGGAGTAGTCTGCGCTGCTGGTCAACCAGAACAGTTTTAGCCATGCCGATAGTAAATCTGAGCTCTGAATACTGACCGTGCTCGTCTGAATTCAGATCATGTGTCTCGTCCCATTCAATGGTAGAAGAAAAAGTACGTCTCGCATGTGTCGTTCTGACCACAGCCAGTGTCACGCAAGTGCTCATTCTCTTCACTGGCGGGCATTCCTGTGGGCACAGCGTGCAGACGTTTTAAAATTAAGCTGCTTCCAGCAGCTCCTTGTCTCCTTGCAGTTCAAGGCACCGTGCTTCCGAAATGCACGCTCCTAAGTCCATCTAATACTCCTCACCAGTGGTCGAAAGTATTCCAGCAAGTGCGGCTGGAGCGGAGGCGTGCCCTTCCTTCTGGGCGTTGCCGCCCGATGATGGCGAGTCCACCAGATCCTCAAATTTAGATCGGTATCCGAAGCCTGCTAGAGGTCATGAGGATTTGGAGTCTGGGTGACACGTGCGCGCGAGGTCCCAATGACGTCGTGGATATTAAGGGCTGCGCCTTCGGACTAGTGGTAGTGGAATACTGGCCCGACGTCGTTGTCATAACATACCAGGGTACAACTGCCAGCACATGGCACCGCTGGAAGTCGGTGGACGCTTCAGCCAAGCGCACTGTCACCACGTTATCCATGCGAAAGCACATATGATAAGAAGCTGCAAGGCTAAGTGCGTCTCAGGCGCGGGTCTACTCGCCGCGGTCATCTGCGAGCTTCCCTGCTTGATCGGCGGGCAGCCGGAAACCGCGGCAGGCCCCCCCGCAAGCAGGCTCGCGACGAAGGCAGGCTCTGCGCGCGCGGCCGTTGCATCGGCGCAGATCTCGCGGACGATGAATACTTCCGAGTACAGTGTGCGACGTGGGCCGTGGCACTGCACAAAGACTTCGCGGCCGCCGACCTGAACTACGGCCCGACCTCGGCCCGGGCAGTTCAGGACGACGGGGCGCGGACCGCTCCATCCACCAGGCTGATAGCTGTGGTGTTCTGCTGCTGCTTTTAGTCCGCAAGGCGGAGTTCGCCTCCGCTACTGCCGTGTCCTGCGCGATGGCCTCAACGCTCGCCTCCATGATCCTTCGCCCCAGATTGTGGTCGAACGTTTTAATTTCTTCCCTTGCTCGTGGCCCAGTGCGGGGAATTCTGGGAGGCATGCCAGTTGTCGGCCACATCGCGCCTGGCATGGCGATGCACCGCGATAGAGCGCGAGCGCGCTACAGACGAACAGGCCCTCGTGCAGTAAGAGTGGGGGCACTGGTGGAATGTTGCGACGTTTGAGTTATTCTTCCATGGCGCGCAGGGCGTGTCTGAGGACGCCGCTGCGCGCCTCAATAGCGGCGGCGCAATGGCCTCGCGCGGATGCGAAGTCCCGCGCCTGTTGCCCTTCAGGAAACCGTTGGCGATGTCGTTGTTTCGGGTGCCTTATCCATCGGAGTACATCTCAGTCGCTGGGCCACGTCGCATCCAGCACTGGCGATGGGCGCCTAAAATGCCTGTTGGCCAGCTGCCCTACGGATGCATTGGTCGATAGAACGGAATGCGACGTATTGTTTGTAGCGCGGCAGATCGCATACGACTTCATCATTGAATTTGCTAGGGGAACTTCTTGAGGGCATGATCGCGCTTCCTGGTTTCTCCAAAGCTCTACACTCACGGCACGAATCAACTACGCCCTCTCTTGTTTAAGCGTACCACATCCAGCCATTCTCTAAATAAGATCGCGCACATGTTCGGTTCGGACGAGCGGCACTATCGCAGGCGAAAATTGCGTAGTTCTTTCACGACAAGGGTCGGATTAAAGCCGCGCTGCGTTTGGAAACTCATCTGCATGTCAAACCAAATCCAGTCAGGCAATCTCGCACGCGGCCGCGCTTCGGCCTAAGGGCGAAGGCGGAGACGGCGCTGCGCCGCCCTGCTCGCGCCAACGCCGTCCTACGGCGAGCGGTGGGTCAGTAGAATGGCCAACACCACTGCCGCCAGGCCCGTGGGCGCCTCGCGTCGCACCGTACCTGCTGGCACCCAGTCGCGCCTCCAAGGTTTCTACGCGCGGTTAGATGTGCACGCGGCCGCGCATAGCCCGGCGGCCTCCGTTGTGCAGGTGACATTTCTGGAGCAGCCACTGCTGGCGCTGGCGCATCGTCGAACAAGTCATCCACAAGCGCATGCGCTGCCGCTGGCGCAGCGGCCGCAGACGCCCCGTTCGCCGGCGCTGGCCGGCGGGGCCTGCCCGAAATTGTCCGGCAGGCAAAGATTGACAAATCGGCATTGCCTGGTACTAGCAGGTGGCCACATTTGTTTTTTGCCATAATTCCCATTCCTAGGCTCTGCCTACAAGGGTTGTTACTCTCTTTCTTGAAGGGGCCGGGCAGTGCACACCGCCCCGGGCGGCCCCCCCAGCACCCGCCCCGCGGTTCCCCCAGTTGCGCCCCCTGGATTCACCCAGCTTAGCTTAGATTAGCTTAGCTCTAGCTCAGCTTAGCTCAGCCTATCCCATCTTAGCTTGGTTTAGCTTAGCTTTAGCTTTGCCTCGCCTAGCTTAGCTTAGCTGAGCTTATCTCATCGTAGCTTATTAGCTTAGCTTAGCTTAGCTTAGCTTAGCTTAACTTAGTTTAGCTTAGCCTAGCCTGGCTTAGCTTAGCTTGGCTCTAGCATAGCTTACCTTAGCTTAGCGCTGCGCAGCGCAGCTTAGCGCAGCGCAGCATGAGCACAGCATATCACAGTATACCATAGCCAAGCATATCATAGCATAGCATATCATAACATAACATAGCATATCATAACATGTCATATCATAGCATAGCATTATCATGGCATAGCATAGCACATCATATCATATCACAGCATGTCATATCAATAACATATCATAACATAGCATCGCTTAGCACCGCATTGGTTAGAATATGTAGATGCAGACGTAGACGGGAGTCCCGCTGTTGATCTTGATGTAGATGTAGATGCAGGTGTAGATGTGCATGTAGCTGTCGGTGTAGATGTAGATGTTGCTTTCATAAATGCTCCAACTCCTAGGTAGGGTCGCACTGGGTTAATCCTCCTTGCAGCGTAGACATTCCCAGTAATTGGGGCCTTTGCCAAACAACCGACATTGTTTGAGCTTTCCCAACCCTCACAAACAATTGCAGCGCCGAAAAGTGAAAGCAAAAAAAAATCATTATACACATACACGGATTATACGTCAACTATCAAGACAGCTATATCATGCGCCATGCGATAACTCCTTCGCGCACCCACTGGGCCACGACTCACCCAGGACAATCCTCGGGAAAACTGTCATTGCTCGCGCATGCTTGAATAATTCAATCATCCATGCCTGCCTAATGGCGGAACTCTCGTCGCAGCTGTTGGACTTAGCAACCATCGGCCTTTCAGACTGCATCCGACCTGTGTGTCATGTGCTCTTGATGCTCTGCCGTCTCCTCCTCCTACCGCTCCTGTTCCACCCCTCCCCAAGCCCCATCCCCCCCCTCTTCCTCCTCTTCCTCTTTCTCATTCTCCTCGTACCCACCTCGCCCTCAACCTCCTCCTCCTGCCCCTCCTCCACCTCTCCCTTTCTCCTCATCGACCCCCGCTCTTCCTCTTCCTGGCGCCCAGGTCCCAGAAAGGAGCCAGGTCGCACAAGCGCGACCTCCCAACGGAACATCCCAAAGCCACAAGGAGGAGCCGAAAAGCAGCAGGCTTCTCATGCGCCCCCGACGAGAGCTTCCACGCCAAACAAGGTGAAGGACATGACAGACATACAAAAATCAGATGGCACTGGACGTGAGAAGAATCCGACTTTTCCACTCGGCGCGGCGCTGCGATGAATCACGCGTGAGCACATGCGAGAGATCTCGCTTCACACGCAACCGGTAGCCGGCAGCAAATCCTACACAACATGCGCGATTATCTCGCTTCGCTCGCAACTGGAAGCAAGACCCCCGACGTCCATCTGGGCAGAGCCCGCAAGGACGTGAAACTAAAGTGAGCACAAGAGCGCATACCCTCAGCATCTGCATATTCGCTAGGGGCGCAGGGACTGCGAAGCGGCACAAGCAACACACTTGAATATCATTATCATCTTCTCATCCACCTTCTTCCTCCTTCTCTTATTTTCTTCTCTTCCTCTTCCTCATATCTCTCCAATTCCTCTCTCTCCTCCTTCTTCCATGTGTATTCATCCTCTTCCGTTCCCTTCTTCTCGCCCTCCTGTGCGTCCTCCTACTCCTGCCCCTCATCTTCCTTCTCCCCGCCCTCCCCCTTCCGACCCTTCTCCCCCCCTGCCCCTTATCCCTGTCTTCCTCGTCCTCAGTTTCCTCTCTTCTGATCCCGAGTGTGTCCGGGCAAAAACATGCGCCCTTACTTGGCCCCGAAGGTGTCGATGCACGACTTGAACGCCCCCGGCAGGCACTCCCAGGAGTCCTTGAAGGCGCTGGTCGCGTGAGCCTCCTTCATCTTGACCCTGGCGCCCTCCTGGTTGCGCCAGCCCTTGATCTTCGGCCACGCCCCCGCGATGTGGCACAGCGTGAACGCGACGCTCACCAGCTTCAAGGCCGACGTCGCTGCCGCAGACGCCCTCGTCAACTCCGCCTCTGGGAACACCTCCACCCCGCGGTTGTCCCCGATGAGCTCGTTGATCTTGGTAGCCAGCGAAGCAAGATCCTTGCGCCCTGGATTGCCCAGGATCTTGTCCACGAGCGCCTGGGACTCTGGCTTCAGCAAAGTCTCGCCCTGCGGCTCCCACTCTACGAGGTTCGCCTCGACCTAGACAGCGTCCTCTCGACGACCTTCGCGGCAGAACTCTGCGCCAGAGCGACGAAGTCGGCGTTCACGATCTCCATCTTCACTGGGAAGTTCCCGCACTTCTCCAAGTTCCCAAGAGACTTTGCGAGATCCTCCTGCTTGCCCAGAACGATGGCACACTGAACAGCTGCGCAGAGATCCGTAGCCCGAGAATTCAAATCCTTAACCATTGCCGCAGAATCTTTCGTCGAGCTATTCTTGTCACGAGACTCACCGCACTCAACCTCGAACTCCATCAGCCTTGCAACTGCCAAGCCCAATCGCACAGCCCTCCCGGCCACCGCAATCCTCATCTTGAGATTGCGGTCCTCCATCTCATCGGCCACATTGATACCAGGCGAGATCATGTCGATGACCGTCCTATCGTCGAGGGCGGTCCACTTCAGGAGCGCGCTTGGAATCACGAGCTGCGATGGCATGTCCTTATCCTCAAAGCCTACTGATGACAAGAACCCGAGAAGTGGCTGCATGGACTCCTCCACCCAGGCCGAGATGGTGGAGTCGATGTGACTTGATAAGTTCGACTGCAAAGGGTCGGTCAAAGCCGTGAACGCAGACACGCAATCGTTCATCGCATCCGCCCTCCCCGGAACCGAGACGCACGAGCGCGCGGTCGCTGACGACTCCCCCACCCCTTTCCCCAGAGGAATGGATGGAGGAGGAGGAGGGGGAGGAGGAGGGGGAGGAGGAGGAGGGAGGAGGAGGAGGAGGAGGAGGGGGAGGAGGAGGAGGAGGAGGAGGAGGAGGAGGTGGAGGAGAGGAGGAGGCGGAGGAGGAGGAGGCGGAGGAGGAGGAAGAGGAGGAGGAGGGGAGGAGGAGGAGGAGGAGGAGGGCGAGGAGGGAGGAGTGGAAGGGGCCCTGGGGGGGTAGGACGGGAGGAGGAAGCGGGGCGTTGAAGGGCGAGGGGCGCGCAGGAAGAGGATTCGGAGCAGGTCCAGATGTAGAGAGGGGAAATGGCGAAGTTGAAAAAATGATAAGCATACCGAGGTCAATGAGGGCGCGGTCTAGGTAGAAGAAGCCGAGGAGGAGAGCGAGGAGGAATGCCAAGGAGGTCAGGGGCGAGGTCAATGAGGAGGCCAGGGAGAAGGTCAATATGGCGGTCGAGGACGAGGACAAGGCGGAGCTCAGGGAAAACGTCGAAGGGGGGGACATCGGGGAGGAGGACGTCGGAGGGCAGGACGTCGAGGGGAAGGACGTTGACGAGGAGGGCGCCGATGAGGACGACGTCGGCGGGGAGGAAACGACGAGGGCGAGGAAGAGGAAGAGGGGGGGGGAGGAGAAGGAGGATGACGACGAGGGGGGGGTCGAGGAGAAGGGGGGGCGGGGTCGAGATGATCGGGGCGCGCTCGTGGCGAAAGGAAGAAGGGAAGGGCCAGCAGGGGAAGGGGGTCGGCGAGAAGGAGGAAGAGGTCGAGGAGGGCGACGTGGAGGTCGAGGAGAGGGAGAAAGGGGGTAAGCTCGAACAGGAAGAGAAGGTCGAGGAGGAGGAAGGAGGTCGAGGAGGTACAGGTCGAGGTCAAGGAGAAGGCGGCCTGGCTCGATCAGGAAGAGGTGGAGGGGGTAGAGAAGGGCGAGACGGTCCAGGCCGAGAAGGGATGAGGAGGTCGAAGATGATGAGGAGGAAGGCAGGGCGGAGGTCGTGGAGAAGAAGGGCCAGGTGCGGGGGTGGATGGCCAGGAGGAGGAGGGAGAGGAGGAGGTGGAGGGGGCCCGCCCCTTCCAACGTCTGCGAGCATGCGCCTACAACCCCAGGGGATTGCGGGGAACTGGCGAAGCCAAGCGCGATCGCTACCCAGAATGTTTGACCGTGCGTTCCGAAGCGCAGGGCACATTCATTTCGACTTCTTGGATGATCCGCCACTCGATGCACTTCTCAAGGGTAAGACCCTCCAGCTTCAGAACTGAGTACTGTGGCAAACGAGAGAAAAGGTCCTTGAGGTTGTCCATTGCCTCGTGCTCAACTGAAGCAAAGCGTGCCCGCGACATGTTGGCCATCCTCCCAGAGCACTTCTTGCCGTACCCGGAAACATTGACGGTCTCGAAGTAGGAGCCCTCGAGCTTGGCAGCCTTGAATCCCTCCTTAAGCACAGTCTTCCCGAGCCAGCTATGGCACAGATTCAACAAGAGGGTCCACAACTGCGAGGCGAACTCGTTCATCTGGATTTCGTAGTCCGAGAGCATCTTCGCGCGAGCATCCTCTGGCATCCGAAGAAGGGTAGATTGAGGGTCTTCCGCCTTGGTCAGCCAGTCCATCATCGTAGGCAAGTTGTCGATCTTGAACTCAGGGCACGTAACCTCGTTGAAGAAAGCAGCGAGGGCAGCGCCCGCATTGTCCATCTTCGCCTCCATGGGGGTAGGGGGGTAGCCCGCGACGAAAGCCAGAAGGGCCCAACGCTGAAACCCTGGGGGGCGACCAGACAAGGCCCAGAAGGATCTCCAAGTGGAGGACCACAAAACGGAGAGAAGGAAAGACCCGACGAAGTCCTGGAGGTCTAAAGGCAGGAGGGCACGCGGTCAGACCCACTGGGGAAACAAAGACACCGCGAGGCCAGAGCCCAGAAGACCCAGAAACTCCGAGAACCACAAGGTGGGAGCTCTGATGGCTAGGGGCCTCAGCGCTACGAAATCTGCCTGGGAGACACGAGGTCTGAACACCAGGGCAGGGGGCCGGGGGCGCGAACACCTGAGGCACAGGAAATTCAAGGTCCAGGAGTTCTGTAGGCTGGGATGTCTATGGTCAAGGAGGTCTGATGTCAGTCCAGAAGGCCAGCGAACATTCTATGAGTATGAGGTCGGAATGCCAGGAGACCCGAGGGCCAGGAAGAGGAGGAGGAGCAGGAGGGCAAGGAGGAGGAGGCGGAAGAGGCGGACAACAACGACGACGACGACGAATCTCCGTCCGTATTCCTTTTTCCTTATCCCCCCCCCTGAACCGTCTCCTGGATGGCCTTGCCAGCCACCTTCTTGATGTTGCCCCCCACGAGCCATTCAAAAATTACCTTGATGATCACGGAGTCCTTCTCGATGAACTCCAGGCTCGCTTCGAGGTCATCCTCGGTGGCTTCGCTCGGGGACAAGAGAGCTCGCAGTCTATCGAACTCGTACCTCAGGTTGCCGCCCAGGCCATCAGGCGCGGAGGTGACGAGGAGGTTGAAAGCCTGCCCGTCCTCATCTGCATCCTCCATGTCCTTGGCGATCGACTGCAACAGCGTCTGAACCATCTGCTCGCGAGCCTTGGTGTATTCCTCAGGATCATAGCCAGCAGAATCCAGGGACTTGTCACGCAGTAGGGCCCAGAACTCTTTCGGATCCTCGATCTCCTGGGATGGATGTACACAGGGAACATCAACACCGCCCCTTCCTTGTCCTCATCCTCGTCATCAACTCCACGACCATCCACTCATCGTCGTCGTCTTCCCTCCACCGTTACCATCAGCCTTCTCGTCAACTGAACCACGAGGTCTATTCAAACTCACCCCTAGTTGAAACCCGCTCTCAATCGAAATTGCACGCAATAAGGTTCCAACCTGTTCAATGGCATCGGACCCACCCCAAACAAAAAAAAACGCAATCACCCTGCCCAAGATTGACAAACCCACGTCTCCTCAATCTCGGCGTTGAGGGCACGGCGGCGAACCCACTTGGGGAACGGCCTGGGCGCAGAAGGCTCCAAGGACAGGAAATGGCATGAGCTCTTGTACTGCCTGACGACCTGCGATGCAAATGCCGCATGCTTCGCCCGCACCTTTGAGAATTCAAGCGCAGCCGTCAAAGACTTCATAATCTTCTGGTTGGCGCCACGGTTCTCATCATCCGGGTTGTTGTCAAGGTGGGAGTTCAGGTCCTTGACGAGGCGTTCCAGCGTGCGCCTGTGGTTGTTGGGCGCCGAGGAGTAGTTCTCTCCGTCCTGCGAAAATTCGCACTCCTTCAAGGTATCCTTGGCACTCTCAATGGCATCCCTCTTAGGACGGCCTCGCCCAGCCGCGCCCGTTCCGCCGCCGCCCCCTGCGCCGCCAGTTCCGCCCGTCCTCGTAGATCCAGGCGGGACCCTTGGCGTTGACGAGGCTACAGGAGACGGCTCCGCTTTGCCTTTTGCTTTGGCCTTGGCCCTGGGGGCGGGTTCGCCATTGCCCTGGGTCGCGGTTGGCATGATGACACCAGTAGAAATGCTCCACAAAGTAGAAAGGCCGTCTCCGTCGTCGTCCGCGGTGCTTCTCGTAGAAGGCTGCACTGCAGGTGGGGGGTCTGCTTTCAGGCCGCACCCGGATGCACCACTAGATGCGGCGCGCCGCCTGTTGAGCTCATCAAGGCTGACACCCGATGCCGATGGGAAGCACGAGAAGAGGCTGCTGCCCAGGGCCTGGAAGTTGCCCCCAAGTTGGGTTGCATCCAACTGGACGTCGCCTGAATCCATCGTCGTCTCCTTCACGGTCTCTTCGACGTCGTTGCGCTCGACCTCCCAATACGTCCTCCCAGGCAACTTGACGCAGTCCTCCCCACGGTACGTGCACCGTGTATGCCCAAGACCATTCGATACAGGGTCTCCGTGCACTCTCAAGCAATCCAAGCATGGCTGGTATATGTCCAAGGGGCCCTTAGTCACCACCTGCTTCTTGGAAACTGACTTGACGATTGACTCCACGTGTGCCAAGTCAAGAACGACGGAATGACCACCAGCCTTCTCCATCTTGTCGATGATTGTGTCCAAGTACCCGTTGATGTCTGAAGCTCCTTCTCGCTGGTCCCCATCAAGTTCGCAAGGGCCTGGTAAGAGATCCTCCTGCATTTGTACTTCGCGTCGTGCACCTTCCAGCAATAGAAGCAGACTTTACCAAGACTCTTACCATCTTCGGTGCACGGATTCCCCCAGAGGCGATTGCATTCAGGCTTGATGGGGTCGGGGGAGTTGTCGCCCTGGCCGCGCAACTTGCACAAGCGTCCATCAGGATTAGTCGCGCACCTGGTAATGACAGGATCTGTCCAACGACCCTGTATCCGATGGCCCGCGGCCTCACCGTCCGCATCATCCGAGCACCGTTTCTTCGGCCCACCGCGCAGAGAAGCAGGCATATTGAAGTCAAGAGTTAACAGGGGGCGGGGTAATACACCTACACCAAGAACGCGTGCTGCTCCTGGTGAAGACCCTTGAA